CACGGCGATCTGGGGTTAACTTTACCGCATGACGGACCCGGTCCGACATTCAGCCTTAACTGGTTCCCCGCCATGACGGACCGGGTCCATCATCCGGCGGGAAGGGGCTAAAGAGAGGAAACCCTTATGTCTTTTTGATTCCCATAGTGTTTTTTATTTATTTATTTTAACTATTTAATGTGATGTCTGGCTAGCAACTGCTGTCCTGCCCCCACATAATTAACCCTTTGCACAGCTGAGGATTACTTAACTATTTTCCTGCTGGCTGCTTGCTCGGCCAGCTGGCAAATAGTATAAATTTTTATGTTCAATCCAGTCCTGGGTTTGAAGCATGTGGCCTCGGATGTGAAGCATACGGTCCAGGATTTAAAGCATTCAGTACTGGATTGTAGCCCTGTGGTGGTGTTCAGTTCAGCTGAAATCTGAACTAAATTTAGGCCCATGTAGCACCTGCATTGCAAAATAGTGTGAACAATGTCCTGTACTTTTACCATTTTACCATTCTGTACTGGGCCGTTTGGACTTTAGTGAATAACCCTGTATACAAATTATTGGGGGTAAACCCTTACCCTCAAACCCATCCATGAGTTTGGGGTGGGGGTAGTAAATGTGATAAGGGGAGTAGAAATGCCCTACAAAGCTAGAGCCAATCTCTCCCACTACCACACACCTAGAGGCTAAGGTGCCTCCAGCCCTTAGCCACCACCAATACAAAACTACCCTACCTACTTTAATCACCCTTATAATACTCAGGGGGAAATAAATTGAATATCTATAACAAGAACAAATTCTAGTTACCTTCTTTTTGTCTTCTTTTCTCTTGTCCACAAAAAAGCAAAATAAAAATCCATTATATTCCATCAATACTATTAAAAATAAAAAAAATAGAAGACCTAAATCTCAAAAAAGGAATAAAAATAAAACCACAATGAAAATTGATGTGAGCCTTGTAGAGGCTACATGCAGATAGAGCTTTAGGAGGAAGAATCTTTTAAAGACTTTCCTATGTGTTGAAATCTCAGTAGATCTCTCTGGATTTATTATTGTTGTGGCATGGTTTTATTTTTTCCCCTTTTTAGACTTTTATTAGTAGTGTTGAGATGTAATGGAATTTTATTTGACTTTATTTGGAACTAAAGAAAAGTAGACTTTATAAGAAAAAACGTCTCAAGGAAAATTAGATTTTTTATTTATAGGTAATAGATTAATTACCCCTCCTTCACTATGATTATGGAGAAAGAGATAGGTAGGGCAGTTTTTTTTATTGGAGAGGGTGGCTAGGGGCTTGGGGATCCTTAGCAACTGGGTGGAGTAGTAACAGGGTAGGAAGGGCCTCAACATAGAGAGTAAACAATGACATGCCCACCGGTCCATATCACATTTAATCCCCACTTACCCAAAACCTATGGGGGGGTGAACAATAGCATCTCCACCACCCATTGATTACTAAATAGCCCCCTACCTTTTGCCCATGAGTGGAGCTTGGGGAAGAATAGGATGTATCCCTATTATTGTTTTACTAGACATGGCCTGACACTCATTAGGGAGCCAGAGGAACTTTAGCAAGTTCCCCCTTATTTGCAGACCCCCCATATGCTAGCCAAGGGTTTGAGAAAAGTGGTGGTCACCTTAATAGTATTTACTTGTAATCCCCCACCTGCTGGCCATAGGTTTTGGCATGGGAGGACCTGTGTCAGTACCCATTTCGCATCTGTTCATTTACAGACCTTCAACATGGGATAGGACCTTTCTAGTGACTGGACAGACATAGCATGTTAGTTTTTAGTTACAGTGAGCAGGCTAACTTCTACCCCAAGCAGGATGTATTTTCACAAGGAATCTGAGCTGAGTGGGGTATGTGAGATATAGGTCACATAAGGTAAACTCTTTGTGGGGGAAACACTAATGTATTTTCTTGAAAACACCCCCAGACACAAACCTTAATAATTCCTTTTTACCCTTTGAAGAAAAATTACTTGCTCTGGGCAGAGACTTAAGACTCTAAATTGAAAAATAACATAACTTTATAACAATGGCTGCTTTTTCTTACCTGTCCTGGCTTTGAACCTTCACAAACATATATATCATATTTCCTTGAGAATTCAGGAGGATGATCATTGACATCGATGACATGGATGTACACTGGTATTTTGGATACCTGAGTTTCTAAACTCAAAGCAAAAATTCATAGAGAGATTAAGAGCAATCTTGATTTGGATGAAATAAAAATGTGTGTATACAATTAAATACTGGTACTTGCTTATCCTTCAGCATTCATTGATCATATTTTGTTGAATATTAGTAATATTAAATATACTGTTATTTGAATAACAAATATTTAAGGCTGGTATGCAATCATTCAATGCTTACAGTCACACCATACAGCCATTACAAACCATACTTATCTCACTTATATGATCAAAGCATACTTAGTTCATTATGCTGCCATAGTGTGCAATACAAAAGTTTCTTTTTTACTTACTTGTTTCTGTTGCAGCAATTGTTATATTATGCCACTTAGTTGTCTCTCTATCAAGAGGTTTAATAACAGTGATTGATCCATTGTGAGCATCAATGTCAAAAAATCTGGAATACTTTTTTAAAATGCCATACCTATAATTTTAATAAAAATACAGTCATAATTGTAATATATATATATATATATATTTTTTTTTAATTAATATTTTAAAGCAAGAATCGGGATTATTGCTAATTCTTCAAAGCTTCAACTAAACACATTTAGAATGACTGAAATTTGCTACATTGTCAATATACATAATTTTGGAGAACCTTTTCTTTAATAGAGATGTTTGAAATGTTGGCTACAATAGGAATAGATAACAAATACAAGCATATTAGCAATGTTCTGTAGCCTAATTGGTCTTTTATCAACTAGCTACCATTTGTTATTAGTAAATAGACTTGTTTGTTTTATTGCTAGGTACAAAATCAATAACTTTTGTAGTAATTGGAAATAAATATCCTATTAGATGAAAGTCAGTTTAAAATATACAGGCTTGGCAAAAATCCTTTGATCTGAAGAAAAATGAATCGAATGACCGTATCAATGGATATGTTAAATTAATTTATTTTCAGAATTAAATTTTAATTTTGGATGAGAGATAAGCAGATGTTTGTGTTTTAAATGTAAACAGTCAATTGATAACAGGGCATCTTATCAGCATTTTAATATTGTTTTTTTTTCCTTTTTAATTGTTATATGTTGTTTAACATATATGAGTTTATATACATAGAACACTATTTTTTGTGGGGGTCGGGGGGTTTGTTTAGTTTTTGCTTATTTCTCCTCTGAGCCATATATGATAAAATAGCAAGTTACAAGGAATGAGTGAGTTGTTCTATTGCTTTTATTGTGGTAGTAACTGTGCAAAATAGTTTATGGTATCTTTATTTGTCTTATTTCCCATTAAGGACCTAGAGTGTATTTATGAGATGCAAATGTATTTTAACTTGTGACAAGCTTTTTTAAAATATTTGTTGGTAATGACAGTGTACCTGATGGAGTTTTGAGTAATATCAGGATCTTTTGCAGTCACAGAATCAACATAAGAACCAACAGAAGCATTTTCGAGGACTTCCATATAATATTCATGTTGGGAAAATACTGGAGGTTCATCAACATCTTCGACATTAATCCTTATAGTGGTATAATCTTGAGACAGTTCTTTCTTTATAAATCGTTCATCTATGTATTTGTTAATAGCTCTTACTCGGATGTTGTATCTTCTCTTTGTTTCATAATCAATAACCTATTTAAGAAAAAAGTTAATTTTAAATATATTCATTTCAAAAAAGGCCATCAATTGCTACATAAAATTGACATTATGAATTTGTAATTACCTAAGGCAGGGACAGACTACACCAGATATTGTGGACTACATCTATCATAATGTTCTTACAGCCATAATGCTGGCACGCATCGGGGAGATGTAATCCACAACACCTACCTTTGTATTAAGGTCTCAGCTTTATTTGGAATGGTCAAAGCTGTGAAAGCATATGTTATAGCTTCATGTACAAATTCAGTCTCCTTTATACCCTGAAGAAAACTCAATTAAGTGTAAAGGCTGGTGCTTTGTGTAAAAATAAAATACAACAAGTTTGCATGCTTTAAGGGAGATGTTTTTGTATGCACAAGTTCACTTACCCCACTTAATAAAATTGAAGATATAATGGTTGTGAAAACCAGACTTGTGACTGATTTTGTTTGCATGTTACTGATAACAATGCATGTCCCATTTAAACATTCAAGTTTGAGCTGCATTTTATTAAATTATTATTATTTACACTGTGACACTATTTCCTTCAGATGTTATGCCTATTTGAGCAGGAACCTCACTAACTTTTGTTTCTCTAAGTCAGGGGTCAGAAATCTAAGGCTCACAGGCGGCACCAGGCTTGAACGCCTAAAATACATCCGGCTGTCATGTTATCCCCTGCAATACAGAACATCCAGTGGTGCCCCCACTGCACCACAGTTCCAAGCCACACAGAACTTTACACACAGCTCCGGGCTTCTCACTCTGTAGTGATGAATGACATCACTAGAGAACAGGCTGAGATGTTGCTTTCTGTAGAACTAATGCAAACTTCCTTTCATGGCACCAGATGAGGTCCTCCATTCTATATGTGTGTACTATAGCCGTGCTGGAAATGCATAGCCGTGGCAAGCCGTGCTGCTTTCTGTGTGTATGATTGTCTGTATTGCTTTTTGTATATGTGTTTGTATGAGTATTTGTATGTGTGTCTGTACGACTGTCTGTATGTGTGTCTGTATGGCTGTCTGTATGCATGCCTGTATGAGTGTGTAAGAAATGGAGTTAAGGGCTGTGCTTGAACAAAAAGATAAAAAATATGTAAAAAATGTATATAGATAAAATAAGCAATAATAGTAAAATCAAGTAAAGTTCGTCCAGATATATAAAAGTATAAATTGGAACAGTCTCACTGATGTGCATTAATACGATAATAGTCCTCAAGTGTTGCTCCGTCCGTATGGTAGGTAGTCCATATATGTGAAGATAAAAGAAAAAGGAAAAAGCTGCCAATGGTGAAATATTGTATTTTTTGGCAGCTTTTTCTTTTTTCTTTTATCTTCACATATATGGACTACCTACCATACGGACGGAGCAACACTTGAGGACTATTATCGTATTACTGCACATCAGTGAGACTGTTCCAATTTATACTTTTATATATCTGGACGAACTTTACTTGATTTTACTATTATTGCTTATTTTATCTATATACATTTTTTACACATTTTTTATCTTTTTGTTCAAGCACAGCCCTTAACTCCATTTCTTGCATTTTCTTGTTTTAAAAGGGTTTCTTGAGGGATTTCCCATTTGGGGTTGCTGCTTAATTGAGTTAGCGCAGACTCTTTCCCCCTTCTGTTTTACTATATGAGTGTGTGTCTACATGTGTGTCTGTCTATGTGTGTCTCTATGGATGTCTCTATAACGGTGTGTATCTGTATATGCATTATTATTGTTATTATTATTATTATTTATAAGGTTCCAATAGATTGCACAATACTGTACAATAGATGGATTAACAGACAAGCTAGACACATAGCTGGACTAACAGATAGCTACAAGCTGGGCACACAGGAACAGAGAGTAACAGAGAGTGTAAAGTAACCTGCTCAAAAGAACTTACATTCTAGTATGAGTGTCTGTATGGCTGTATAGATGTCTTTATGACTGTCTGTATTTTTGTCTGTAGAAATTTATGGCTGTCTGAATGACTCTGTGTATATTTTTGCTCCATTGCTATATGCTTAAGTTCTGACACTCACACTCCCATTGTGGGGGTCTAGGCAATGGACACCGGTCCTTATGGGCACTCTGACTTGTCTGCAGATACACAACCCCACATGCAGTAAACTGTGTCTTCTGACAGCTTTCTATCATGGTCAGCACTAAGCTTTTCAGCTATTTGAGCTACAGTAGCTCTTTGGAACTTTTAGGCTAGCCTTCGCTTCCCATGTGCAGACTTTGGGGGCTCATAACCCTGATTCTGTCCTTTCTTGCAAAAGTTGTGATAGGTACTAACCACTGTATACCTTAAATACCCACAAGACTGGACGTTTTGAAGATGCTCTGACCCAGTTGTCTAGACATCACTATTGGGCCCTTTGTTAAAGTCACTCATATCTTTTCATTTGCCTATTTTACTGGCTTACAACATGTGAAATTTAGGAACTCACTGTTCACTTGCTGCCTAGTATATCCCACAAATTTAGGGCAATTCGGACATTCGGGTACTTCTGAATGTCCGAATAGCCAAAGTGCCGAATTGCAGAAGTGCCGAATTACCGAGGACCCGAAGTTCCGAAATTACAGAATTTCCGAAGTGCCGAAGTACACTATTGCCTAAGTACTAATATACTTACCCGGTGGAAGAAGAAGAATGTTACACTGTATACAATTTTAAATAAAAAGTATACAAACATAGCCAGGATTCAGCTGTAAGCATTTGCAACACTTACAAAAATCAAGTAACATACATTCATATAAAATGTAAGTTACTTAGCCAGTCATGTAATGACAGGAATGAATAAGTAGATAAGCCCCTAATTCCCACGGCATTAGGGAGCTATCTACCAAAAGGCTGAAAGACCTAAATTGGTCTTTCAGCCAAATTTATTAATACTAAGTAAGCATTACTTAGAAAATTATGCCCCTATTCGCTATACTGCGAGTAGGGGCATGTCTATTAAACAGTGAGAAGCCTGTGGCTGCTCACTGTAAAAGTCCCCCCTCCCCCTCCTAATCTGAAGGGGGGACCTATTGCCCCCCCCACAGCCTCCACCCTGAACGGCGGGTGGGGGGCCTATAGTAAAATAAGGGGGGGGGACAAATTGTCCTCCCCCCGGCCCCCACCCATGAGCGGCGGGTGGGGGCCCTAAAATAAAGTAATGGGGGGAACCTATTGTCCTCCCCCCGGCCCCCACCTCTGAGCAGCGGGTGGGGGCCCTATAGTAAAATAAGGGGGGGACCTATTGTCCTCCCCCTGGCCCCCACCCATGAGCGGCGGGTGGGGGCCCTAAAATAAAGTAATGGGGGGAACCTATTGTCCTCCCCCCCTGGCCCCCACCCCTGAGCGGCGGGTGGGGGCCCTAAATCAGAATAAGGGGACACACCTAATGTCCTCCCCTCTGGCCCCCACCCCTGAGCGGTGGGTGGGGGCTCTAAATTAGAATGAGGGGGGGACCTAATGTCCTCCCCCCTGGCCCCCACTCCTGAGCAGTGGGTGGGGGCCCTAAATACTAATTGGGGGGACCTAATGTCCTCCCCCCTGGCCCCCACCCCTGAGATGTAGGTGGGGGCCCTAAATTAGAATGAGGGGGAGGACCTAATGTCCTCCCCCTGGCCCCCACCCCTGAGCAGTGGGTGGGGGCCCTAAATACTAATTGGGTGGACCTAATGTCCTCCCCCCTGGCCCCCACCCCTGATATGTGGGTGGGGGCCCTAACTTAGAATGAGGGGGGAGGACCTAATGTCCTCTCCCCTGGCCCCCACCCCTGAGCGGTGGGTGGGGGCCATAAAATACTAATTGGGGGGGACCTAATGTCCTCCCCCCTAGCCCCCACCCCTGAGCGGTGGGTGGGGGCCCTAAATTAGAATAAGGGGGGAGGACCTAATGTCCTCTCCCCTGGCCCCCACCCCTGAGCGGTGGGTGTGGGCCCTTAAATACTAATTAGGGGGACCTAATGTCCTCCCCCCGGGCCTCCACCCCTGAGCGGTGGGTGGATGCCCTAAATACTAATTAGGGGGGGACCTAATGTCCTCCCCCGGGCCCCCACACCTGAGCGGGGGGTGGGGGCCATAAATAAAAAAAATAACACCCACTCCCCCGGGACTAGGGGTCCCCAAATCCCTAGTCACCCCCTCCTCAAAAATTAACCCCTACCTACCTAAGGATAATGAGGGGGGACAATTTAACTAAGTACCTGAAAAAAATAAAATAAAACTTACCATTTGATGTTTTTCTTTCTTTTTAAATGTTGTGCAAAATGATGCCATTATAACAAAATATTTTTTTTTTTTTAAATTAGGAGGGGTGTTTGGTTTTATCTTAAAGATAGTGTGTATCAGAGACTCACTATTAAAAAAAAAAAAAAAATCTATTATAAATACCAACAACGGTTGCAGCATTAATTTGCCACCATTGTCATGTTTTCTCAGGTTAACTTTACACATTCCAGGAAAAAACAATTAAGCCCAAAGAAAATTCATAAAATGCTGTTACGTGATTCTTGTACTTTAAACACATCTAAACATGCTAAAGCTTTTCTTTACAACAAAAATGTGTTTTTTTTTTTGTTTGTTTTTAAGTGCGTCGGTTATTATGACTTTTTATTTGGCCTTTTTTGGGGCTAAAAAAAGAAAATTTTAGAAGAAAGAAAACATCAAATGGTAAGTTTTATTTGATTTTTTTTCAGGTACTTAGTTAAATGGTCCCCCCTTATTATTTTTAGGGTGAGGGAATAGGTAGGTGTTAATTTTTGGGGAGAGGGGGTGACTAGGGGTTTGATTACCCCTAGTAGCCCGGGGGAGTGGGGGTTATTTTTTTTATTTAGGGCCCCCACCCACCGCTCAGGGGTGGGGGCCAGGGGGGAGAACATTAGGTCCCCCTAATTAGTATTTAGGGCCCCCACCCACTGCTCAGGGGTGGGGGCCAGGGGGAGGACATTAGGTCCACCCCCTCATTCTAATTTTGGACCCCCACCCACCGCTCAGGGGTGGGGGCCAGGGGGGGAACATTAGGTCCCCCAATTAGTGATTTAGGGCCACCACCCACCGCTCAGGGGTGGGGCCCCCCCTAATTAGTATTTCCTAATTAGTATTTTAGGGCCCCCACCCAATGCTCAGGGGTGGGGGTCAGGGGGGGAGGGAGTACATTAGGTCCCCCCTCATTCTAATTTAGGGCCCCCACCCACCACTCAGGGGTGGGGGCCGGAGGGGGAGGACAATAGGTCCCCCCCATTATTTTACTTTAGGACCCCCAGCAGCCGCTCAGAGGTAGGTGCCAGGGGGGAGGACAATAGGTCCCCCCATTATTTTACTTAAGGGCCCCCACCCGCCGCTCAGGGGTGGGGGCTGGGGGGAGGACAATAGGTCCCCCCCATTATTTTACTTTAGGTCCCCCAGCCGCCATTAAGGGGTGTGCGCCGGGGGGGGGGCATTAGGTGTCCACCCCCATTATTTTACATTAAGGCCCGCACCCACCGCTCAGGGGTGGGGGCCAGGGGGAGCAATAGCCCCCCCATTAATTTAAAAGCCCCCACACGTGCGCCACGGGTGGGTGTTCGGGAGGGGGGACCTATTTTTTTTTTTTTAACTGTGAGCAGCCACTGGCTGCTCACTGTTTAATATACATGCCCCTACTCGCGGTATAGCAAGTAGGGGCACAATTTACTAATACTAAGTAATTTTTACTTAGTATTAGTAAATTTGGCTGAAAGACCAATTTAGGTCTTTCACCCTTTTGGGAGATAACTCCCTAATACCATGGGAATTAGGGAGTTATCTACCAAGCGGCTGCAAGAGAAGTTCTGAAATTCCAAAGTCCCGATGTGCTGAAGTGTCAAAGTACTGAAGTTGCCGAAGTTCCGAATTGTCGAGGTCCCGAAGTTCCGAAATTACCGAATTTCCGAAGTGTCGAAGTTCTGAAGTGTCGAGGTGCCGAATTGCCCAATTCCAGAATGCCGAACCCAACTGAAAATTTTTCCCATGCACATGCCTAGAGAACAGTGTGTGTGTGTGTATATAATTTCACCCTCACATTGTAGCCATGTTGCCACTTTGGACACTTACACAAATATACACAAATACAATTCACAGATACACACGCTGATTAACATACACATCTATACACATGATTCATGCCCACTTATTCATACTCTGATACACAGATACACATGCATATTCTGATACATGCATGAACATAGACAGAAACACACAATGAGTCACAGACACATGCACATTAACAGATAGAGACACAGAATCACAGTGGGGATGAGACACAAAGTGGGATTGGGGGAGGAGAGACACCTGAAATAGAATGGAACAGAGGCTTCTCTATGAGAGAAAAGCTTCTGATTGGACAGGTCTCTGTGAAGTGACTGA